ATTTTTTAATGTGCATAAACATGATAAAAATTAAAAATGCACCAGCAATTCTACAAGTAGTTATTTCTCTTATGATGTTTAAGGACCAAAACTGAATAAATAAATAAAATTATGTTGTTCAAAAAACTTTGTCATAATCAATCATATTTTTGGAATTTTTTATACAGAATGTATCTTATGTCGTTATATGCAGGATTTTTTAATGATTATGGATCGATAACATGGAATTAATTTTATTTCTAGATAAAAAGGTGCAAAATTGCATTAAAAGATAGTTATAAAAATATATTTAACTCTAGAAACAAAATGCATTTAAACTAAATTTATTAATCAATTTACTAAAGTTTAGGGTCCCGTATTATTAAACCAAAGAACTAAAATTTATGTTTGCACATCAAAATGTTCAACAAAAAAGAAAAAAGAAAAAAATACTATAAGAATCCATTAAAAAATATAATTATTACAATTTGAAAAAAAAAAGTTGATTTTAATGTTGAAGCAGCTGCTTGCTTAAACATTTTAAAATAAAGTAACACGTTTTTTTCTTTTTCTTTTTAATTCCATGCTATCGATCCATAATTATTAAAAAAAAAAAACCCACGTAGAACGATATAAGATACACACCGTAAATAATATTAATAAAAAACATGGATAGACTCTACTTGAATCGGAAGATATCCGAAGTAAAATAAAAATACATCGTGTAACTTTCTATAGTATCTACTTTTATTCAAAATTACATTAAATTGGCGAATTTACAAAAGAAAGTTTGTAATAATTTTCGTGATAAAAATTGTACGTATATAACATCATACTATTAGTAATAACTAATAAGTGACTTTAAATTATAACAAATATAATAAAATAGTAGTTATCATCTATTAGTTGGCATTCGAGTCGAGTATCAAAATAAAATTATATATAAATATATTACTTAATGTTTTTGGTGAAGGACATTTTATCGATTTATAACGAGTGGCTACAACAATCAAATAAAATCGAGTAGGTAGAGTCGTATTGCTTGAAAATTATTGAACGTATACAATATTGAAAGCGTTAGGTTTTACAATATGCTAAAAAGGTAAGTCTTACGCATAACACATAATAACTATCGTCTATCAGTATACATAATTTATAATAATATTACGGTACAAATATTCATGAATTCAACTATTCATATGATAATAATAATAATAATATATGCATCTGAAACTTTCTACATTTCCCATTTCTATTTTTCGCACTTATGTTGCTATTTATTGATGTACTGTTTGATCCAAAAAGCGTAAACTTCAATGATATGTATGTATTATTTTATTTTCAAAACACGGTCTGTCCAATTAAACGTGTACAGTCATATCAGTTATCACGTTTATTCGTTATAATGTATAATAGTGTAGACTTAAGTGTTTCAATATTTTTGATCGATAAGGTTAAAACTTTGGGTTGATTATTATTTAAATACAGTAATCAATAATTCACTAATAACTGCTCAAAATATATACATAAATACAAGTTGTATTAAACAATGCTTGTTAAATTGTGTACATTCATACCACATAAGACGATGTAAGTAGGTATAAGCTTCAGTTCAAATCTGTATAAGTTATTGTTTTTAAATGTTAACACACAACAGAAAGATTAATAACAGTAGACTAATGCGAAAATACTTGACCTACATACTTATTTAATGATCTGTAATAATAAAAGGGAATTTGCTATTATTTCTCATTCTTAATGAAAATAATTTTAAAACAAAATACACAAACTTTTTTTTTCTCAAAACAACAACTTTCTACAAGTGTACTCATATTTAATTCAAAAAGCCATCTAATGGATTTTGATACAACTAGATGACATATTGAATTTAGTTTCTAAAATATTTGACCATTTTGTATTGTAATAATTGATATTTTTGAGTTGTAGAAATAATATTTGATGTATTAATGACAGTAAAACGTATATTAATTTTTGTAGACCATATGTATACATATGTATATATATTGTAGAGTATTAATATAAAAATACACTATTGGAGGATAAATCAATTTTAGGTTGTAAATGTGCGTTTAACTTGAATTTCCAACTAAAATATTACAATTGATTATTTTTTAGTTAGAACTTGTATATTTAATAATATTATTTAAATATATTATTGGGGAAGTAAATTTAATTTTATAAATTGTTCTTACCAAAAGATTCGATAAATAAAAGCAAAAATGAATCATAAATAAAATCTAGCTGTTCAAAAAATTCTCCATTTATAATCATCTATTATAAACTTCTATTATTTTTCTAAATTAACAAAGAATGATATTTTTCAAAATATTTTAACAATAATTTTTTCAATATTTTAGTTGATTATTAATTAAAAATATATTGTAGATAATTTAACAAAAAAAAAAAAAATGTATGTTATTAAAGGATTTTTTTTTCTCGTTGTATTATTAAATATAATAATTAATCTGGTACTTACATGTATTTATCAAAAAAAAAAAAAAACAATCTTGAATAATATTTATTTTGTAATATTTCATTTTTTAATGCAAATTTTAAAATTTCTTTGCATTTCAAATTATTTTAAAATATGTTTGTATTATTGAAATTCAGACTTTAATGACATTTTTTCCAAAAGAAGATCTTATACATAATAGTTTTGTAAAATTATTAGTTGATAAATTAATTTTTAATTTCACTTTTTTTGGCTAATAGTGTAAAAAACAGTTGTTAATTTTCGCTTTTAAAGCCAATAAAACATATTACAATATTTGAATATGATGTTACAGTCACAATTTATCCATATCAACCATACCTTGGGTTTTTAAAAAGCCTAGCTATAATATCTTAAAAAGTTATAAAAAACATAATTAAAGAATAGTTAAAGTCATCAATCGTTTACATGAGATAATAGAAATTCGTTTACATAAGATAATAGAAATTCGTTAAAGTCGATGTAAAAATAAGTCCTTGCTTTTATTATGATAATATAAAACTGCTTATAATATTTGGTATATTAAAATTAATTTTAGATAAATCCGTTAACTTAAAAAACAAAATATACAGTTGATAGAATATTCAAAGTTTATTCATGAAATAACACTGAATGATGTAGATATAAATAATCACACTTTATAATAATATTATACATTTTATTTTTAAAACAATGTTTAGAGAAACATCAAACCAATGAAGTAGCTTATAAATAATAGTAATATATTTGAATATAAATTAATGTTTAACATTTATAGCGATAGCTATTTTCTTAACATATTTTAAATCTAATTACTATTATAATTTATATTTGTACTAAATTTAATTTTGATTAAAAATAATAATAATAATAAATAAAAGAATAGAATTTTATTGTAATAGATTTATAAACTAGGATAGGTTAATAAAAACTAGTAACATATTCACACATACCTACATATTAAAATCAAATAAAAAAAAACAATATACTTTAACGTAATTAAATAATTAATTCCATACAAATAATAATTAAATATTGTTATAAATCCTTCATTAATATTACATAAAAGATAGGTATGTAATAACATATTATTTAATTATTATTTAGGGAATAGTTAGTTACTACTTATTAAATAATTAAAGAATACTGATATGCAGAACAACAATTAAATGTTATCTTCATTGACTTACCTGTGAAACGACAATACATTACGAATAGTACGATATATTTATGGAATTTATCATACTAGCTATTTGCAATTCTAGTGATTTAAATGAGTTTATGTTAATTAATCGTATAAAATTTGCCATGGTAAAATTGATCGTTTGAATTTGGTCGCTTGATAAATTGGTCGAAGTATATTTTCGCAGCAAAACATGGATATTGATTTAAGAACGTAATATATAGGTACATCATTATTATACATTTTGCGATAATAAGTTGAATAACAGTATGTACGAATTTAAACTGTCAGGCTAAACCGTCTGAAAATGGTCCAATATTGTACTGGAGCAGAAATCCCTAGAAAACGGAAGAAATATAATGACACTACTGAAACGATTAAGCAATATGTAAAATGTTTAATAGAAGAACATTAATTGATGAATATATATCATAACTTATAATACTTTTCACACATATTATTTTTTATAACCTATATTTTCACACATGTTACTACAAATTCTTTTAAGACAAATTACGATAAAATATTATTTTTATTACTAATATATATTAATTATATACTTATATACTAATTTCTGAAACGGTTAATTTCAGACGATCAATTTTACCACGACGAAAGTCATACGACCAATTGACTGTACCCCGATTTAAATTTAATACATAAATCAAGTTGCAGCAAAGATATGATGTGTTATTAACCACTTAGTCACCAAAATACTTATATTATTATAGTTAACGATTAATGATTTACTATCTATTATTTTTTTTAAATTATTTAAAAAGTATTTACAAAAGGTATCATAGAATAACCTATTTTTAAATTTAAGTTTTGCACATTACACACATATTTAGTTATGATATACATACATAAATGCAATTTTATTATTTCGTGATTAAATAGTACAAACATTAAAAAAAAGTCGAGCTATAAGACGTCTAGAATATAAATAGATATTTTAGTAGAAATTACATTAACATAAAAAAAAAATATGAAGATATATTATTAACCATACGACTATTTGAAAAATATATAAATTGTGCATGTTATTTTTTGAATATAAGTACTATAGACAAAAAACATTATGTAGTTTTTTTCATTGTTAGTCAATAGATTTTTAATTAAATCCAAACGTTAATTATTTAGTATTTATATTAATAAATAAAAACATTAATTAAATCGATAAATTTTAATTCTTTTCTAATTTAAATGTTAATACTGAAGCTGTTTGTTAAAAGTGATAAACTTACTCAAGGTATTCATTTTTAATTAAAATAAAAATGCGTTTGAAAATATATCGAAAGTAAAATTTATAGTATCTTGAAAAATTGTAAAATATTACTGCTTAAATGTTAAAATATATTTTTTTCGGATAACTTTAAATTTAAATATTGCTTGTTATAATACTATGTTCTTCGAATGTTAGAATAGTTTTGCGAGAATAATCGTCAGAATATTGTTTTGTGATTTATAAAATTAGTGATATTTAAAAATCTAAAAATGTACGTTCTGCGTGAGTAGATAGTTAATAAACTGTTTACAAAAAGGCATATTATGTATTTTTTCGCCAATGGTTTCGTAATATAGGTGGGTAGTTCAATACAATAATAGAATGAGTATTAAAGGTTACCAACATCATGAGCAATAGTTTTTGAACTGCGTTTAAATTACGGACGTTTGAAAAGTCCCATCACAATATCCGTACAGAAAAAAATATTATTATTTATTATTGGGTATGTTACTTTACACGGCTTTGACTTATATTTTGTTTTTACCATTATGCATATTATGATTTGCGTAAAATCGAAATCATTGTTAAGCCCGCCGCAGGTCTTAGCAATGGCGCTTTACAAAACAAAAGTCTTATGAATGCGCGCGCGCACACACACACACACACACACACACACACACACACACACAACACACACACGCACAAGCACGTATACATATACACATTACACACGTCACACAGTAATTGCGTGTAATAAATATGGTACATACGAGAAATGTGGGATTGTGGTGATAAAAGTGACACGCGTAGGGTCTGAGGTAATAATGGGTTTACCAGTTAAGAACTTTTATACTAATAGCGAGGAGACAGCTGCGGGACGAATAGACACACTAGTTGTTTACTAACAACGATAACGTTGGACCTTTAAAATGTTATATATATATTTGCGGATTTTTTTTTCTAGACGATATTTTCGGAGGCAACGTTCAACATGCGATTTTGACAGGCGTTCGATAGCAACACGCCGCCCGACCCGTTAGACACGATGAACGTCATCGTCGTCGAACTGCTGACGGTCGAGGCCCTCTTGCCTTTGTTCATGACCGAATCCGCGATGATCGATGGCCGGGCCAACCTGAAAACATAAACACGGCCGAAATTCGATTAACAGTATACAACGACAACGGCAACAATACAATAATTAACGACGTTCATCGCGGACGACAATGGCGCTAAGAAGATTTAGCTGATGTATGAGTCGGCATTTCGTAATATATAGGTGTACGAGTAGTCGCTATTGTCGGCTGTCGCAATGGAATTTGAATATCGATAATTATAATGCTGATTGTGTAGGTTCCAATCCGACCCCGGTTTTAGTGTCTTATATTATATTATGTGATGTGTATGTTCATATATGTGTGTGTGTGTGTCAGTGTAAAGTTTATTCACTTACATAATATGATATATTCACGTACCAGTACATGAATTACCATTTTCAAATGGCTTACAATCTGGTTTTGGACACTTACTATAAGTATGTTATATACGATAAGTACGTCATGATAGTTTTTAGTGATTTACAAAAGTACCTCATTGAAAACTCGATAGTAAAAAAAATGACCAGTTTTGAACAGTTTTAATTATCACGAAAATGTTATACACACTTCACTGGAAAATCTTCGTTCGCGAAATCGTTGAAAAACAAAATAAAATATACGATTGAAATTATTTGAGTTACAAGAAATATTGTGCTGAATAATTTTTTAGCTATTTCCTTCAACACCTTTAACACAGATTATTAATATTAGCTGTATATTAAAAGTTTTGAAAAATACAAGCTATCGATTGGTATCGAAATTGACTGCTCTCCCCCGATAAATATTATAATATCAGAGAAGAGATTATTGATCAAATAAATTAAGCGCTTGAAACCAATACTCTTTTGATAGTTCTTCCGACATTATTCTATACATATTGTATGTACTCTGATGTTACTTAAATGAATTTTCATCATTAAAAAAAGTTAATGTAAATGATTATTGATAACAAATAATACAAGCGCCTAATCAAAAAGTGTTAACTTTTAACTACTTTTTATCCACATTACATTTTTTCAATCAATTACATTCATCACACGGGTCACACTAAATACTAAAATAATTATCTAGACGTACCTTTGGAGATTTATAAAAATAAAATCGAGAATTTTTAGTATTTTTAAAAATACTAAATATCATGTAAAATTGATCATAAAAATTAATTTTCTATCTCTAATAAATGTGAAAACATAAACGTATATTTAAATTATACATCACAACAGACCAGATTATATATAATATATTACAATTTTCTCTAAATATTTATATATATATATATATATACATGAAACATTATATTATAGACAATTTATAATTTAAGAATTGATATATTAAGAGTATTAATATATTATGATATATTAATTATATTATACTCGTCGCCCAGCTTTGAATTTAAAATAGATAATGTTTTTCATAATTACTTGAAAAAAAAATAAAGAAAAACGGATATTTTTACTAAGTAATTTTCGACAAATATGAGTTTGTTTTTTTTTTTGACATAACTCAAAAATCAACAGTTCATACTTGATATTTTTTATCAAATATTTATATTTGAATTTTATAAATTTTCCCTTCCTTAAAAAAATGGCGATTTCGTTTCCATGCAGAGTCCATACAATAATCAATAGACTAAAAATTATTTTCACATTATATATCCACAAGTATCTATAGCAAAAATAAATAGCACAAATACAGTCTAACACCTGCTAATTAAATGCCTTTAGACGAAAAATTTTAAATATACATTGATGTTCTCCTACAAATTGTGCTAAACATTATCACTCAATCCAGAGATGACTTCGACTCTCTTAAATTCCTCAAAGAGACATAGTTTTTCAAAAAATGTAATGTATTAAAGAGATATTTTAATTGCAAACAAACGAAATAAAAATTACAGTGTGTATTATACTTTAATTTAATTTTAATATGACATAAAATACAATGCGTCGTTATTTGAAACGTCAATAACTATAGCAGTTGAAGTGTATAAACAATTTAAAAAATAATCATTTTTATTTTTTTATAAATTTTTCTAAAAGTTTTAAAACTAATATTATGATGATAATAATTTAAAAACGAAAAAAACTACCGCGGTTGTATTGAGTTGTATGTCAATTAATGTATATTATTACTCGACTACCGATCCATAACCGAAAGTACGTTATTCAGCGGTGGTCACACAAAAATTTACTTATGGAATTATTTCAAGTGCAATATTGTTCTTTCGGATACGTGAAATCGTTGAAAACACGAAAATTATATACATTTATATAATACGAATTTAAGGTGTTAATATGTTAAGTTGGAAATAGTTCTAATAACTCAAAACCCGTATCCTCCGAAGTATATATAATATATATATAAATAGTATGAAATGATGACTTAATGAGTAGGAACCAGTGGAACGCCTTGCCAGACTATTATTATGCGAATTAGAATTTTCGGAAGTGATGGTCGATAATTTAATTGGTGAATGTTAAGGTCAAACGTCTAATGATAATAACATAATACATGCATTTATATATTACATATTTACCTATTAGTAATATTATCATTGAGATGCGATAAAAATGTATTAGATACGACCATGTATATTATAAACATAACAACTTACGCCGATGTATTTAATTACGCATGTATACAGAATATAGATATATTTTGTGATATAAATTATACACCTATATAGGCCGAAGCATGTTTGAAAGATCAAAAAAATAAAATAATTCCTCGGTAATTTGCATAAACACACCGTAATGTTTCTACATGGGCCTCGGGATAATACCGTCGTTGCGAGGACAGAAATTATTAACAACCGGGCGTTATTATAAAAATCTAATCTGTTACGTTTGGTTTTATGGTTGGTCACGAGTATTAGAACCAATGAAATTTTTCTGTCTCTCGGAAAAAATTTTATATCGATAAAAAATAATATGACGTGTCATTAGGTTTTTCCCCTTAACGTATTTTTAATAATTTTCAACAGCAGTAGCAAATGTCGAGCGCAAATTATAATATGTTTTTATATATAATTAATATAATACAGAGTATTCCATTTAACTGGATTCAATATTTAATTTTTTCACAATCAGAAGCAGAATACTTTTATAAAAACTTTGATGAATATATATTAAACACTGGGTATTTTTTTTATTAATAATCATTTAAAGTTTAGATTTTGGAGTGGTTAACCACAAGTTTAAAGGGGTGTGTGCTATTTTATTCCACTCACCCAAACTTTAAACAATTATTGAAAAAAAAAACTTTTTGTTCAATATAATTCAATATTTATACATCAACATTAATAAAAAAGTATTCTGCTTTTATATAAAAATATATAAAAAAACCTAAAAAGGTTGTAAAAATGTGATTAATAGTAATATAAATATTTAAAAATACATAACACTCGAAAAAATTGACTAGTAAAATGTATGTAATCAGTTAAATGAAGATCACCACGTAGGTACATAGTGTAGTATACACACGATAACTATGTAGTTTTGGAATACCTTACATCTGATTTTCTGAACATAAATTATTGTGGTTGTAATGGACACGTAACAACAACCACAACAACTTTACAAAATATAACCTAGCAAAAAGCTTTTGAGTTCGAGTGACGTTAAAAACGACAATTCGCGTGTATATATATATATTATAATTTACGGTCAGCAGAATACGAATGTGTTTACACTAGCTTTCTAATATTGGTAGACGTCTAACTTTATATACTTATAAAGTGATTAACCGATCTTCCGATCGATATATTCTTCTACCGTCTATTTTTATATACCTAATTTGAACCCTTTTCTTTGACAGAAATTGGACTGTTGCTATAAAGATTCATACATATCCGTTAATACACGCATTGAAATTAACACGTTTATTTATAACGAGCGATTTCGATTAAATAATCGATTAAATGCAAATTACAATAACAACAATATCCATTAAAAAAATCAAGATAAAACTACAAACGTGAAACACGCAATGGGAATAACGCGCGGACATAATGTATATCGCCTATAACTAGGTATTAATTTTATTAAGTGATTATCATATTTAGCTGATTTTATATGGTTAATCTTTTAGAGAATAAGATTTCGTATTTAAATTTTAACAAAATAATCTTTTAAATACGACGTAATTGCATACCTACAACCTACTACATATGATGGTTCCAACATTATACATCATTATCATCAGGTTTAAAAATAAAATCTAACCATATCTTATGGTTAGAATTTAATTGAATTCAAACTTTACTTACTGATTGACCAGTTTTTATAAGCTCATAATAGGTACTAAAATTAACTATCACCATTCATTTTTAAAATTGTTCTCTCTCCCTCTCTTCCTCCCTCTTTCTCTCACTCTCTGACATCTTAACTTTACAAGAGCTTTTGACGCAACCGACACCTCCTTCTACTATTCTCAATTTGGTATCCTTAATTTCTCTAAGTCCTGTTTTGTTCAATCTATCCATCGCTTTTTGAGACGTTCTCTTGATCTCTTCTTTATAGATTTCCATTCAATTGCCACTTTTAGGTACTCTAAATCTGACCTTTTTACCACGTGTCTAAACCATTTGATTCTTTATACTTTTACAAATTTGGTTATCCTCGAGACTCCTGTTCATATCATTAAAATTAATAAAATGGTATTCAATAAATAAATGGAAAATGAATAAGTGTAGTGTATACACGTATAGTTTAATATAAAATACTGTTAAGTTAAACTTGTTATTAATAATCTAAATCGAAAATTTTCTTGGAATAAATAGCTTTGATAAATATATCAAATATTTTGTGAATCTTCTATTTAACAGCTCAAATACGTTTTAAATCAAAAAGTTGGAAAGAGCCTTTTTATAAACAGCTCTTAAATTTTAATGTGATAAAACACATTTTTTTCATCGTTTTAATTTGGATCTCCGCTAATATCACAACATGAATTTGTTTCTGAACGAGTTCTATGAAATTGGATGTTGTACATTTTACTGAAGTTTTCTATACCATTTGTTGTTTTACAAATTTATATC